TTTTTGGGGTTTTTTTGGGGGTTTTTTGGGTTTTTTTAGGGTTATTTGTGGGGTATTTTAGGTTTTTTTCCGGGGTTTTTTGGGGTTTTTATTTGGGTTTTTAATTGGGGTTTTTTCGGTTTTTTTTTTGAGGTTTTTTTAGGTTTTTTTTGTATTTTTTGGTATTTTTGGGGTTTTTTGGGTTTTTTTAGGGTTATTTGTGGGGTATTTTAGGTTTTTTTCCGGGGTTTTTTGGGGTTTTTATTTGGGTTTTTAATTGGGGTTTTTTCGGGATTTTTTTTTGAGGTTTTTTTGGGTTTTTTTGTATTTTTTTGGTATTTTTGGGGTTTTTTTTGGGCTTTCTTTGTTGTTTTTTTGGGTTTTTTGGTATTTTTTTGGTATTTTTGGGTTTTTTTAGGTTTTTTTTTGTTGTTTTTTGTGTTTTGGGTTTTTTTTTGGGTTTTGTTTTAGGATTTTTTTGGGGTTTTTTTATTTTTACGTTTTTTCTGTTTTTTTTGGGGGGGGTTGGTTTTTTATTTTGGTTTTTTTTAGGTTTTTTGGTTTTTTTTTTTTTTGGGTTTAGTTTTGTTGTTTTTTTGGTTTTTTTTTTGTGGTCTTAGTTTTTGTTTTGATTTTTGTTTTTGGGTTTTTTGTTTGTTTTATTTTTATTTTTGGAATTTTTTTTCTTCTTTGTTTTTTTTTTAGTTTTTTGGGTTTTTTTGTTTTGGCTTTTTTTTGTTTGTTTTTGGGGTTTATTTTTTGGTGTTTTTGGTTTTTTTTTTTTCTTCTTTGTTTTTTTTTTTAGTTTTTTGGGGTTTTTTGTTTTGGCTTTTTTTGTTTGTTTTTTGGGGTTTATTTTTTGGTGTTTTTGTTTTTTTGGGGTTGTTTTTTGGTGTTTTTTAGTTTTCTTTTTTGGTTTGGTTTGGTTTTTTTTGAGTTCTTTATTGTTTTTTTTTCTTTTTTGGTGTTTATTGTTTTTTGGGGTTTTTTAGTTTTCTTTTTTGGTTTTGTTTTGTTTTTTTGAGTTCTTTATTGTTTTTTTTTCTTTTTTGGTGTTTATTGTTTTTTGGGGGTTTTTTGGGTTTTTTTTGTTGTTTTTTTCTGGGATTGGGCAGGGGGAGAAGAGGGAAGGAGGAATTTTAGCAGAAAGAAGAAAAGAAGAGGTCGGAAATCAGCGGAAGTCGGTGAGGGGATGGGTGGGGACGGGAACGGTGAAAAAAGGGCAGGAAGCGACAAAAATTCTGTTTGGGAGCGTCAAGAAGTGGTGGGAATCCATCAAAAAAAGTTTGGAAGTGACAAAAATCGACTTGAAGCCATCAAAAATGGGTTGAAAGTGACAAAATTTGGCTTAAAAATCATCAAAAATGGCTCAAAAGTCAGAAAAAATGGTGGGAGACCGATGGAATTGGCTTCAAACTATAAAGAAACGGTTTGAAAGTGACAAAATTTGGCTTGAAATCGTCAGAAATGGCTCAGAAGTGGCAAAAAGTGGTGGGAATCCATCAAAAGAGGTCTGAAAGTGGCAAAAATTGACTTGAAACCATCAAAAACGGTTTGAAAGCTACAAAATTTGGCTTGGAAGCATCGAAAATGGGTTGAAAAACATCAAAAATGGCTCAAAAGTGATAAAAAATGGTGGGAAATGAATGGAATTGGCTTGGAACCATCAAAAAATTGTTTGGAAATGACAAAAGTGGTTTGAAAGTGAGAAAATTGGCTTGAAACCATTGAAAATGGGTTGAAAATCATCAAAAATGGCTCAAAAGTGATAAAAAATGGTGGGAAATGAATGGAATGATCTTGGAACCATCAAAAAATGGTTTGAAGGTTGGAAAATTGGGTTGAAAGTGACAAAAAGTGTCTTGAAACCGTCGAAAATGGGTTGAAAATCATCAAAAGTGGTGGGAATTCAACAGAAATGTCTTGAAACCATCAAAAACCAGCTTGAGAAGGACAAAAATGGTGGGAAAATGATGGGACTGGATTGAAACCGTCAAAAAATGAGTGAAACATCAAAAAATGGGTCCAAACTGAACAGAAATGTCTCAAATCTCCCAAAAGTTGCCCGAAAGCACCAAAAAATGGTGAAAAATCAACAGAAAGGCCCAAAAAATGATCAAAAATTGGTTCAAACCCATCAAAATCGGCTTGAAGTTGGTTTGAAGCCGTCAAAAGATGGATTGAAAGTGATAAAAATGGTTTGAAATTGAAAAAAAAGGGTCTGAAAGCGGCAAAAATGGGTGAAAAACTAAGAAAAATGTTTTGAAATCAAAAAAAATTGGAAAAAGTGAAAAAAATGGGGCCAAAACCATCGAAAATGGGTTGAAGGTTGTAAAAAATGGTGGGAAAGTGACGGAAAAGTGGTGAAAGCGTCAAAATTTGGTTAAAAGTGACAAAAATGGGCTTGAAACGGGTAAAAATCAGCTTGAGAGCGTCGAAAATGGGTGAAACTCACCCAAAATTGGGGTGAACGCAGAAGGGAGGCCGGGAAAAAGACACAAAAATGGTTTGAAACGATGGGAAATGGATAAAAATCCCCCCTAAAGTGGGTGAAAAGCGTCAAAATTGGTTTGAAAGGGTGAAAAATTGGTTTAAAGCCATCAAAAATTGGGGGAAAAGCAATGGAAGGGTCTTGAAATCACCAAAAAATGGTTTGAAACCACCAAAAATCGGTGAAAACCCAACAGAGAGGTCTTGAAACCACCAAAAATTGGCCTAAAACCACAAAAACTTGGTCAAAAGCCAATGGAAAAGTCTTGAAACCTCCAAAAATTGATCTAAACCCACCAAAAATGGTTTGAAACCACTAAAAATTGGCCAAAAATCCGTGGAAAATGAATGGAAGGGTCTTGAAACCATCAAGAATTGGCCTAAAACCACAAAAAATTGATCTAAACCCAATGGAAAGGTCTGGAAACCACCAAAAATTGACTTGAAACCATCAAAAATTGATTTGAAACCACCAAAAATTGGTGGAAACCCAATGGAAGGGTCTTGAACCCACCAAAAATTGATCTCAACCCCCAAAAATTGATGGAAATCATCAAAAATTGGTCAAAACTCAACGGAAAGGTCTTAAAACCACCAAAAATCGGCATAAAAACAATGGAAGGGTCTTGAAACAATCAGAAATTGATCTAAAGCCACCAAAAATGGTTTGAAAGCACCAAAAGTTGGTCAAGAACCCAGAGAAAGGTCTTGAAACCACCAAAAATCAGCCTAAAATCAGCAAAAATGGTTTGAAACCACCAAAAATCGGCTAAAAATCTGTGGAAAATGAATGGAAGGGTCTTGAAACCATCAAAAATTGACCTAAAACCATCAAAAATTGGTGGAAATCCAATGGAAAGGTCTCGAAGCCACCAAAAAATGGCCTAAAATGACCAAAAAATGGCCTAAAATGACCAAAAATTGGTTTAAAACCAATGGGAAGGTCTTGGAACCACCAAAAATTGGTCAAAACCCAACAGAAAAGTCTTGGAACCACCAAAAATTGGCCTAAAATCAGCAAAAATTGGTCAAAAACCAATGAAAATGTCTTGAAACGATCAAGAATTGATTTAAACCCACCAAAAATGGTTTGAAGCCACCGAAAATTGGTCAAGAACCAAGAGAAAGGTCTTGAAACCACCAAAAATTGGCCTAAAATGACCAAAAATTGGCCAAAAGCCAATGGAAAAGTCCTGGAACCACCAAAAATTGATCTGAAGCCACCAAAAATTGGTTTGAAATCACCAAAAATTGATCAAAACCCAACGGAAAAGTCTCAAAACCACCAAAAATCGCTTCCAAATCATCAAAATCGGCCTAAACCCACCAAAAATCGATGGAAAACCAACGGAAAGGTCTCAAAAACACCAAAAATTGATCTGAAGCCACCAAAAATTGGTGTGAAATCACCAAAAATTGGCCTAAAATGACCAAAAATTGGTCAAAAACCAACGGGAAGGTCTCAAAATCACCAAAAATTGGCCTAAAATGACCAAAAATTGATCAAGAACCAATGGAAGGATCTTGAAACCTCCAAAAATTGATCTAAAACCATCAAAAATTGGTTTAAAACGACCCAAAATTGATCAAAACCTAACGGAAAAGTCTCAAGACCACCAAAAAATTGCTTCAAAATCACCAAAAATTGATCAAAAGCCACCAAAAATTGGTGGAAACCGAAGTGAAAGCTCTTGAAACCATCAAAAATTGGTCTGGAACCACCAAAAATTGGTGGAAAACCAATGGAAAAGTCTTGAAACCACCAAAAATTGGATTAAAATGACCAAAATTGATCTAAACCCACCCCAAAATCGGTTTGAAAGCACAAAATTGATCTAAAACCATCAAAAATTGGTTTAAAACCATCAGAAATTGGTGGAAACCCAACTAGAAAGGTCTTAAAAGCACCAAAATTCGATGGAAAGCCAACAGAAAAATCTCAAAACTGCCAAAAATTGATCTAAACCCACCAAAAATGGTTTGAAACCACCAAAAATTGGTTCAAACCCAACGGAAAGGTCTTGAAGTCACCCAAAAATGACCTGAAATGTCCAAAAATTGGTCAAAAACCAATGGGAGGGTCTTGAAATCATCAAAAATTGGTTTGAAACCACCAAAAATTGGTCAAAAATCAATGGGAAGGTCTCAAAACCACCAAAAATTGCTTCAAAAACACCAAAAATTGATCAAAAGCCACCAAAAATTGGTTTGAAACCACCAAAAATTGGTAAAAAAACAATGGAAGGGTCTCAAAACCACCAAAAATTGATCAAAGGCCACCAAAAATTGGTTTGAAACCACCAAAAATTGGTCAAAAATCAACGGAGACGTCTCA